AAACATCCTTTCCTTACAATTCTCCAAGTCATCTTTCATTTGCAAGAGTCGATACTATTGCCTTAAACAAAAGAAAGCTTCAATATTTTTGTTCGTTTATTTAAATGAATCTAGAAAGTTTTTACTTTTACTTACTGGGGCTGAGATATACACAATTCAGATCAATCAAGACATTGAAACCCAAGTCTCCCACAACAAGGCTTGGCCTATGAACACAGTCTTAATTCCCACGACATTCCTCCACTCTAGCCACACAAATGATTCTCAACTTTCTAAAACTCCATACATATATTTAAGAATTCTGTGCCTTTCCTCAAGCCATTCTCTTTGCCTAAAAGGCTATTTCTACCCTCTCTTCCAGCCCCTGTGCGATTCCTTCACAGTTTATAAGAAAGAGTTGATATGTCACATCCTACTACCAATTTTCCCTAGTCAGAATTAATCCCTCCCTTTATTATTCTTTCACAAAACATTACTCAAAACTATCTGAGACAATCTCTTTGGCCTTACAATTATGTAGAATTATGTCTACACTGCAAGACTCCTTGAGAGTAGGAAAAAAATTGTTTTAAGCACTCTAGCAGGGTACTTGGCACAAAGCATAAAATAGAAGTTTGTTAAATTGAATTCTGGACATTGCTTAAAAGAAAAGAAACTATATTTTAAATGTTGGCACAAATGAGTTGACAAGCAAGCATTTTAGAAAATAAATATATTTTCTTTTCATGTTTGCAAGCCTAAAAAGTCATTTCCTCAAGACTACTCATCTATTTTCCAAATTCACTAACCAGAGGTACTCACCTCCTACTAAAATAACCAGCAATGGCTTTGTTCAGAGGCACAACATGAATGCCTAGTCTTGTAACTACGTCAGCATGACCCTACTGGTGGAACAACTATTTTAAGTAAAAAAAAAAAAAAAAAAAAACTTTGGAATAATTTACTAAATCACATATTTTATATAGTACATTATATGATTTCGAAAATATCTTAGTTCAATTCTTTATCGAAAGAAAATTTTATCAATTAAAAAGTTATTCCTAGGAAACACTTTATTCAGAGTGAAGGGGGAGGAGGAGTATCCTCTACCCACTCTGAGTCCTTCCTGTCTGGGCTACAAATTAAATTGAAATGAGACTGAATAGCAGGAGAAAATCAAACAAAATTTAATAACGTATACATGGGAGAAACTCAGAAAATAGAAACTGAGCAGCTCATCATTCTGACTAAGCTGCTTGCTTAAGTATTTTCAGCTAAAGGGCAAGAGGGTGTTTGGGGGAGTAGTGGTTTGGGATTTCAGAGGGGAAGAAGACAATTCACATGGAGATGGAAATGCAAAGGTTTGACAACTCTTTACAGGGCAACCTAGAAAATGCTGCCCAGGAGAGACAGAATTTTTGATAAGATGGGCCTGTTGGTGCCTTTCTTATCCCAGCATCTATTTTACATTATACTACAGCCATCATGTGGTAGTGGCTCCTTCCAGTAACAGGCCTTCTATGTTAAATTCTTTAGGCAATTTGGGAAGGGAAGCTCAAATGTTCTTCAGAGAAAATAATCAAGGTAAAGAGACATATTTTGAGGTGGCCAGATTTTGAGCTCCCACAAGAGAAATACTAAATATACTTTATATCATCAAATTGACAAATATATCATCTAGTTGTCTTTTCTACCCATGACACATTTGTAAAACTAACTGAATTAGTGTCTCTGAAAAAAGGAAACTTTAGTTAAAATGGTCATTCAAACTAGCATGGCTCAATAAACCTGAGAACCTGAAAAAAATACATGCAATTTCAAATAAATATAATTAAAATTTTAATATACAGACATAAATGCTGGTTTAAATGTTATAAAATGATTATAGATTTTAAATTATTTAACCAGTATTGATGTCTAAATGATTTTCATTCTTTCCCATTTCAGAACTTTTTTCAAAGTTCTTCATCCTTACTGATTATTTCCTTACTTGTTTTAACCTATAAACAGCATTAAGTAAAACTCCATTCCTGTCAGTAATCTATCCTCTTCATATAAGAATTTAAGTCATATGTTTTCTTTAAACTTACTTCTTTGATCTGTTATAAAAGATGTCCATGTGTTCCCATTTTCAAGTATTCCTACTGTTGACATTTGCCATATATGCACTATTATCTGGGGGACAATCTAAAAGTAATATAGCCTATTCTAATAGTGATATTCCAAGGTAACTGAGTATCATATTTATTTTTTATTTATATATATTTTTATTCTGGGGGTCCCCAGCTGTAGGACTAGGTTTAGGAACCACAGATCTTTTGTTCTCCTCCTCATTGCCTTTTAATTTTGCTGAGGAAGATTCGCCCTGAGCTAACATCTGTTGCCAGTTCTCCTCCTTTTTTTCTTGAGGAAGATTAGCCCTGAGCTAACATCTATGCCAATATTCCTCTATTTTTTTTTGTATGTGGGACATTGCCACAGCATGGCTGGTGAATGGAGCAAGTCTACGCCTGGGATCCAAACCCGTGCCACCAAAGCGGAGCGTGTGGAACTTTAACCACTAGGCCATGGGGCCGGGCCCCAGATTTACTTTTTAATGTTTGATTCATGTGTTACTTTCCCCTCTGTAGTCTACATATTGGTCACTGGCCCTTATCTTTCTATGGTAGAATCTCAGAAGAAATAAAAAGCATCTAGCTGTGAAATGACCATCTGTCAAGATCAAGATATGGTTGGTTTAGAATCTTTGCTGTCTTACTTCCTAGCTCTGTGACCTTGTAGAAGTTATTTAATGTACCTGAGTAATATCCCACATTATTCATGGGATAAACTGTACTTGATTTATAGAACTGATGACAGTAAATAATTTTAACCATCAATAAATTTTAACCATCTTTTCCTTTTCCACCTTATTCTATCATATTTCTTTCTATTGTACTCTCCTTCTCCTCTTCTCTCTCTTTCCTCTTGCTAATCCTTGGCTGGTGTCCAAAATGTACATCTCAGTCCACCAGCTTGTTTATCAAGGGTAGAAAAGAAATCTAAATCAATTATGCAAATATCACACACAAGAAACTGGCCTTTCATGAAGTTCCCAGTGCTCCTCTCTGTTGGCAGGGCATGACAGACACACAGGTTCTAGAGTCACGAATAGTGGAATTTGAAGTAGAGCCCACCACTCACTATTTGGCCTATAACTTGTTTGTATATTTGTTCCTTACTCTCTTTGAAACCAGGTTTCTCAAACCTTGAAACAGAACTAAGACATACCTCATAGAGCCATTGTGAAAATAAAATGTAAAATTCAGTGTGGTGTCTGGCAAATAGAAAACTATGAGGTAAAGTCACTTGTTAGACAATTCTGCCCTCCCTCTCCGTAACCAACAAACCAGAAGAAGTAGAAAAATTCCCCATTTCATAAACCTAGACAAAATCATCCCAAGAATGACAGCAGAAAGTTTACTGGTAACTCCACAGGTCCTGTGTGTCCTGGCGACCAGTTTGCTCTGAAATGCGACCTGATCAACCAAACACAATGACTAGCGCAGGGCGTAACTCCTGCTCCTCAAATGATTCTCTGGCTATGACTACACGAGGCCAGTAACAATAGAATCTCTCATATTTTTTTGTCACTTTTTTCAGAAAATGGAAAAGTAGGGCTTATAAACTAATTATTTGTAAGTTCTTTTCTCAGTATACAGAGTAATAGAGATGCGTATATATCTTAGAAGAGTATTCTAGGAAAAAAGTTTCATTCACTTCTTGAGAATAACTGTGATAAAATGTGACATCCTTAACACACTCAATAAATACTGATGTTTACTCATTTTAAAGGAAATAAGATAATGAAGGCAAAAGCATAATCTTAGCTTAAAAGATATATTTCTCAGAAATGGTTTAATGAGAGCACTATTAGAATAAAATGAAAATTCCAGAAAAAATAAAACCCATCTATGAAACAAACAAATCTAAAGAAACAGTCTGTTAAAAAAGACAGGACGATTTAACTCTTCATAGGAATTTTTAGTTGAAAATACAAACATTTAATAAGTAATTGCTGATATGAAAGGTCAAATTAAAACAGCAATATTTGGATGATTCTAAAAAAATAAAACCTGTTTGGGTCAACTTCTCCTTTCAGATTTAAAGTTATAGGTGTAAGGGAAGAAGCAATGTAGAAATATCAACTAGGAATTTGATGAATGAGAAAAATACAACTTCTAGAAAAAGAAAGAAAAGCTAACCCAAGTATATCTGAAAACAGTTGACTACCTCCATTATTGAAGATTTTTCTTTAAATAGACAAAAACCAAAGTGAAAAGCTTCACAAACCACCCTTTTATTTTAGCTTGAAATGGAAAAAAAAAAGTAGCAACACACTGCGATGTGAAAATTATGCAAAATATAACAAAATATATAAAAAGTCAAATGTAATCATAGCTAAAATGATGTTAGTACCTGAAAAAACTGTGCTTTGTAAATTACATATCCTTATAAGCCTTTCCAAAGCAATTACTCCCAGCTAACAAAAACCTAATCACAACGCATCTTTTCCCTAAGTTCAAAAACACACACTGCTTTAGTAGACTCATATTTTCCAATAAAAATCAAATTGCTAATATCTGTAATATCCACTTATGTAAGATAATCTAAAGTTTGTTTATGAACAAATACTCATTGAGGTCACCAAATTTAATAAACATATACACAGAAAAGTGTCTTGAACTTACACACAGAAATTGATTTCTAAAGAAAATATTTATATGGGAGATATTCTAATATTTCTATTTATAAACACTAAATTAAAGAACAATTAGTATTTTAGAAGAAAGCAAACATGTTTGACACATTATCCTATTGATTACCAGTTCTAACTGTATTTTAATCTTTTCTATGGGATTTAAGTTATATGCTAAAATTCATACTAAATAGAGCCAAAAATCTACTGGTCCTTTAACTATCATAACAGACCCTAAAAACCCTAACAAGGATGACAACTTAAAAAATATATTTAAACTTACCCCATTTAATGGATATGTTTTCCATCCTAGCTCTCCCAGAACAGTTGTTGTATCAAGCAACACAACTGGAATTAAATAAATAAAGAAACCTTGTATGAATTTCTCAATTGATGCAAAAATATAACAAAGTTATTTAAATGATTAATGTCAGCTACCCTATTATTTATTGTATTAGCTTTAATAAGTTGCATTACTTACTGGAAAATTATTTGTATATACCAAATAGTAATACATAATACTTAATAATATTAATAAATGATAAAATGTATGAAGTGGTTATAAGTTAATTTTAAAATATGTAATTTGTATTTAACAGTACTAAATGAAATAGATAATTGAATAACAGAATTAACAGTCATTTTTAATAGCTGACTTTTAAAATTAATGAAATAACCACTTTCGCTGTTCCAGAACCCCACTTTCATATACAGTCTTTTTATACCCCATTAAAAAAAGAAAAAACTATATTAAAACAGGCTTCTATATTTTCTTTCTGTGTTATTAAACGCCCTTATATATGATTGGCAAAGTATGAAAACAACTCATTTTGAATACACCTACTTTCTTTAAAGCATAGATTACATAATTATTGTTATGTGCTAGGTAGTATATTTACTGCTAAGGGAGGCAAAAACAAAAATAAAAACCACGCATCTTTTTCCCTGAGCAAAAGTAACTCATAATCTGATCAAAAAAGCAGACATGTAAACAAATAACGATAACATATTCTGTTAAATTCTAAAATAGAAGAGACTATATAATAGCCCAGCAACTAAGCTGAGTTAAGGTTGGTAGGGCAGGCCTGGGAGCATTTCACAAAGGAGATGTAATTTGAGGTGGCCAAGGATGAGAGGGTCTTCAATCAGATGTGAAAGGAAAGAAATACTTTTTTTCTTTTAGAATACCTTCTATAAAGTAACTGAGATATGACTAAATCAGTTCAGAGTCGCTGGAGTGAGGATTAGGAGTGGGAATGATTTTGGGGAAGTAGGAGGATAGAAACGAGGCTGGAAAAGATAAATGGAGATCAACTGGGGAGAATTTTTGTAGTGTTTCCAGCAGATCAATGTGTAGGGCCCATTATTCAGCAGATCTTAATTTTTAACTACTACTTCCAAGTCCCACAGACAACAGCAGACCATGGACCACACTCTGAGAAACAATGCTTTGTTATCTCATCATGAGTGTATCTAGTTAAGAAAGTGGGTATTTTTATGTGTAGTTTTAAAAAATGTCATTGGGAGTATGTTATTTGGCATCTGCTGTTGAGTGTCTATTGTAAGGATTCTGTGGTAAGGATCCTGTTTCTTATTTGCATCACTGTGATATTTTTTTTTATTTTTAAACATTAAATCATTCTTAAATTTCTGGGATAAACTTTAATTACTCATTGCAGAATATTCTTTCAGTACGGTTAAAATCTATTCACTAAACTACACCTGCAAAACCGAGCTATAATTCTTTAATTTTTATTGTGGGAAATTCTCAAACTATTTTAAAGTCTGGAGAAAACAGTACAAGGAACCCTCATGCACTCATCACCCAGCTTCAGTAATTACCAACTTACAGTTGATCTTATTCATCTATACATCTGTACCTACTCTCCCACTGCAAGACTTCTTTGAGGCAAATTCCAGTAATCATACCATTTCATCTGTAAAAATTTCAGTATGTATGTCTAAAATAAAGATTCCTTTTAACATAACTACAATATTTTAATTCATTACTATGAAGAGCAATTCCCTAATGTCATCAAATATCCAGTCAGTGTTTAATATTCCTATTGTCACAACTTATTTAACAGAAAATCAAGATCCAAATAAAAGCCATACATTACAGTGAGCTGACATACCTCTTTGTTTTTTTAATCTGTAGGTGTCCCCTCTATCGTTTTTGTTGTTAGATGTATTGAGATATGATCTACTTACAATAAAATTCACTCTTTTTAAATGTACATTTCTATGAATTGTGACAAACCCCTACATCCATGTAACCACTGCTACAATCAAGCTATAGAATATTTCCATCACCCCCAAAATTTCCCTTGTGATTCATAGTGAATCCCTTCCCCGCCCCAGCCCCTGACAACACTAATCTGATTTCTGTCCCGATGGTTTTGTCTTTCCCCAAATGTCAAATGAATGAAATCATAGAGCATGTAGCCCTTTGAGCCTAGTTTCTTTCCCATAGCATAATGCATTTGAGATTCATCTATGTTGCTGTATCTATCAACAGTCCATTCCTTTTTATTGCTGGAAGGTATTGTATTGTATGGAATCCCCTAGTCTATGGACATGTGGGCTGTTTCCAGTAGGGGACATTATAAATAACGCCACTATAAACTTCCATGTACAGATTTTTGTGTGACCCCGTGCTTTCATTCCTGGCAAATAACTAGGAGTGGGATTACTGGGTTATATGGAGAATGCTTACTTTTTTAAAAAACTGTCAAAATGTATTCTAAAATGGCTCTGAAGTTTTACATTCCCATTAGAAGAATGTATGGTTTCCCAACTGCTCCACCTCCTCACCAGGACTTGGTACCATCAAGTTTTTTTTTAAGCGTTCTAACAGGTGTGCAAAGGTATCTTACTGTTGTTTTAATATGTGTTTCCCTAATTACTAGCCAGTTGTCTCTTTCACTACTTGATATCAAATGTACTGAAAAATTCAGGTTGTTTTGTCCCACATTCTAGATGTTCCTAATCGCAACACAGCATTGTACATGCTCCTCCATTCCTTGTATTGTCTTTAAATCACCAGATATATTTGGTGGCTTGATCAGATTCAGGTTCCATTTATTTTATTTTTTGTATGATTACTTCATTGGTGGTGTTTTATTATCCTTTTAGCAGAAAACAGGGAAGATATCAATGACTGCTAGGGTCATGTCAAAAGGACTGGAAACCAACTTGCATAGGCTTCCATTGGCCAAAAATGGATAATTTGATCATATACAAGGTTAATGACTATAAGGGATTGAAACACTGCAAATATGCTTAAATCCATGCATTCATAACTATAAAATATACCTACTGATAACGTTTGCAGAATACTAGAAAACCAATAGTTTAAAAGCTGTAAATAATCTGAAAAGAATAAAATTTTTATTTCACTTTTTTGATATAAACTACTTGTGAATAAAGAAATAACTGAAGAAGGGAAATTTCTCTTACTGAAATATTTCAGTTAATAAATGAAGAATGACCAAATTAGGCTACACCCTTTTCTACTCCTAATGAATTAATATATTTAGCTAGTGGTTTCCAATGGCTGCTAACATCACAAAAAAAGATGAAAAGAGACATAAAGGGCTACAGCTAAAAGGCTTTCTTTATAGTCTCATTTACTCCATATTAACCTACAATTCTAACAAGATTGGAAGTAACAGAAAAGTACAGTAAGGATGATACATCTATATATACACACACACACACACATATATACATATATACACATATACTATATATGTGCATACACACACACAAACACACAAAATGATATTTGATGGCATCTGGTTTCATTCAGTGTAACAAAAATAATCTCACATATTTACAGAAAAAAGCCAAAGGTAGCATAATAATGAATACTCAAATCTATAAGCTTATCTCATTATCAAATAAAAGTTATTTTTATTTTTGGTATATACTGTTGAAAAGAATTCAGAAGTATGCAATACCAGTATATACTTCTGGGTACTCAATAGTTTAATGTTACTCATCTAGCAACATTTATATTTTGGAATACATCATTATTTCCCTAGCAGGCTGGTAAAATAATGATATTAATTCATAGTCACTGCAGGAAGGATTTTCTATATATTTTCTTCTTCAAGTAATCTCCACATTGTCCTATAAGTTGTTTCTTTTTTTTTTTTTTTTTCCTGAAGAAGACTCGCCCTGCACTAACATCTGTTGCCAATCTTCTTTTTTATTTGGCTTCAGGAAAATTAGCCATGAGCTAACATCTGTGCCAACCTTCCTCTATTTTGTATGTGGGATGCTGCCACAGCTCGGCTGGTGAGTGATATAGGTCAGTGCCCGGGATCTGCACCCGTGAATCCGGGCCGCTGAAGTGGAGCACACAGAACTTTAACCACTTGGCCATGGGCTGTCCCTCGGTTGTTTCATGTTTAATACTCAATTTACAGATGAGAAAACTGAGGCTCAGGAAGGTTAAGTAATTTTCCTTGGGATCACAAAGTGATAGATTTGGTTTCCAACCAAGGAGACTGATGCTAGAATGTCCTTTAAAAAACATTTAAAACCTTTAAACCTTTTTAAGAAAGTGTTTTCTTCCTACCTTTTTAAGTCTGAATATAAAACTTCATTATTTGTTTTCTCTTTTTATTTTTGTAGATGCAGAGAAACATCACTATTTCTTTTGCTGATTCCAAATCTTCTTCAGTTTTTATCCAGTTTTCTCATCAATGGTTTCTACAGAAAATTTACCAGTTCTACCTACAAATCACGCCATTTAAATCAACGGGTTTACTGGAATAGAGTGTTCAAAAATCTCTAATATGAATTGAAGTCTACCAACAGAGATTTCTTTTTCATAGATTATATACAGAAATTATAGCTAATTAATTAACTTACTAGTTGATATAATTATTTTTTATATAATATATTTAGGCTGCCTAGTGCTCCATATTCATAATTTGTAAACTATGAAGTATATTCATTTCAAAACAAACAGAAAAGAAAAACATGTATATATCTACAACAGTGTAGATCCTTAGGAAGAATTTGTTTCTTAGTAGCTTCAAGAAACAAGATTTACATAATTGCTTTATTTTCCTCATTAAACTGTAACCGTACCTTCTAAAAATCTGTAAACAGTAAAATTTCAAATTTGCATTCTAGACAAGTGAATGAACAATGACATCAAAATAAAACTGAGGGTTTTTGATATTTTTAATACCATTACATGTGATAAGTGCTTAAATTTTATCATTTGTTTCACACATAAAACCCCCATAAATTCAGGTTTTTCACACACACTAATTGCATTGGACCCAGCAAGGTGAGAGCTCCTCCTGCTGGCTTTCAGTAAAAGTTAGCTA